GTTTCAAGGTCCCATAAACTCTTTACTGGTAATACCTGGTATAACTGTCTGACAAAATAATTGATGAGTGACATTGCAATTAATGGTGGGGGTTCTATTTTCTAACCTTTCCTTCCACAGACCTGACAGAATCCATCCAAATACTGTATCCTGCACAACGAGACCCCCTGGGAGTTGCAAAACCTCTTGTCTCATAATGTCCTAGTAATGGTCAAGGCCCACCGAAATATCAACCTTGATCTCTCCATTCTCATCATACTGATCGGCTAGTTGGAGATGAGAAATAGACTGACGTATTTCCTCTGGAATACCAGTTCTATACATTGGGGCACATATGGTTCTGACCTCTACTGCTCCAATGAGTTCTTGTCCTTCCATCTTATTTTCTAGAATTAAATTGTAAACATTATGAACTGAGCTGGGTGATGCTTTCCACCCCCAAATATGCAGCATAGGAAAATAATTTTGCTGTGACCCATTCTGGTCTTATCGCCTTAACTAATGGACTAGTTACCAGTAGGTATTGTCTGACCCTGTGTCAAACAGAACTGTTGCATATGTACTACCCTTACTCCCTTTAATTAATACATTGGCTGTTTGTAATGCTGTATGTACTTTGTTTTGAGTATTGTATGATATACCAACATGATTAACTTTTACTTTACCATCTGCATTTTTTGCAATTCTTGGTTTGCATAACAATTCATGGTGTCTACCATGACATTTATTACATTTTGCCAAGCAACCTTCAGCAAAATGGTTTCTGGCTAAACATCGAAAACTGGCCCCAGCTGCCACTATTTCTGAAATATAAGTTACAATGGCGCACCATCTTTCGGATGAGACGTTTAAGCCGTTGGTCCTGTGTGTGCATTTATGGCCCATGTGCATGTTAAAGAACGCAGTACACTCTTCGGAAAAGAGTAGGGGATTGTCTTCCAGCCTGCTGCCCAATCACCACCAGAAGGATCCCACTGGAAATAAGTCTTCTTCCAGACTTTCGTGGCCTATCCTTGGTGTTTACACCGAATAAATCCAATCCAATTCAATCCAAGTTTTAACCTAATTGGGAAGCACTTATAGAAATGAAACACAATAAAATGCGACGCAATTATTTGCCTAGAATTACCAGCTCAGCCTTCAGCAGCAAGGCCTGGCTGTAAAAACTAAGAGGCCTACTAACTCATCCGATCCTGTCAGGTGTCACCCAATAATTAAACAAATCTCCATTTCTCCTGATCAAATGTAATTTTCGCCCGATTTACAGGTCCCCGCAAAATACTCCAATTTATGCATAAATATGATTGATTTGATCGTTATTATCAAATGTATTCGCCACCTGCTTCATGACGCGATAAACAGCAGCCATTTTCGATTTGAATGTCGACACCATCGGCCAACTTCGCAGGCACGCAGGTATGCAATTGAAGGGCAGCAAACAATTAGTGTCTTTTTTAGTACTCGGATCTTGTACTGGTATCATCTTTTGGGGAATTCTGAAAACCTCCAGATTTTTTGGTAAATCTCCAGATTTTTGAATAAAACCTTTAACTAACTTTATTAATACCAGTTGGAAGTTTACATCCAGAGTCAGACTCAATGGCTGTCAGCCTGTCACTGTCAGATTAGACAGTAAGGATGAGCCAGTGTTTTACTTAGATTACTTTTAGTGCTTAAAAATAAAGACGCATCACTGTGATTTTATTATTGAAAAGTGTCATTTCTTTTCTTTAATAATCATTTATTATCACCGCAGAAAAAAATGCTATGCACAATTTTGGAATTGCTCCACAAAACAAAAAGCACATAGTACTTTTTGCTACACACAAAAAAATGCTGGGAATCAAATGCTGTTCATGATGACAATAACTGACATTTTAAAGTGTCATCTTTTTTGAAGTGAGAATGACTAAAAACTAGCTCCATGTCAAAGAGCTTCCCAGAAGAAGGGACCGGTTAATGCAATTGAAGGTCCTCCTGAAGTCGATGAAGGCTAAGTGATGTTCGTGGAGTAGCGAGGGCTTCATGGATTAAGGTATGGAGCTCCTTGACTGCACTACCGGTCGATCTACCACTGCGGATGCCATGCTGCTGGGGAGGCAATAAATCATTATCCTCAGCCCAAGACAAAATCCTTCTATTCAGAATATATTTATAACACTTATAGGCACATGATAAAAGACCAACACCTCTATATGAGTCAGGAACCATGAGAGGGTCTTTACCTTTACAAATAGGGAGTAACTACACAGCCAGGAAGTGGGACAACACCCATTAGAGAAACAATAGTTAATAATGTATTGTAGGGGAATTAAAGACAAATATGTCCTCACACTTCTTAAAAGAACTCGATTGATAGGCCATCAGGGCTTGCTGCCTTTCTGATCTTACTATGCCTAATGGCAGTTAGTGTTTCTAAAGGAGAAATGTCCTCATCAAGCAATTTATCAGCAACAACTGATGCGACCGGGAATTCATGAGTATAGACTAGAATTTCTGAGAAGTGGTCAAACCAGATATTGGGAGGCACCTGAAGAGCTGCGGCTCTCCTGTTCCGTGACTTCCACAATCCCCAAAAATCTTTTTTAGCCTTTGCGACCTGACCCTTAATTATAGCATTTGGATCATCTTCCAATTTAACATTGCTCTTAAGTCTCTAATATGCAACAAAAGACATGTTTTAGTCTATATCTTATTATTGATCATTTTTGCTAATATAAACCTGGTCACATTTTCCAGGCATAGGATTACTTTCCCAGGACATCATAGCAACCCCTTGTAATAAGGTATGTAATACTAGGCCTACTTAGGCAATAGGCTATAGAATAGAGTGAAATATAATGTAGTTGAATTTATACCAAAGTCTCAAAAAGCTTAATAAATAACATTTTTAATAATAAATAACATTTTTATAACGCAAAGGACAGTTAGTTCCGAATCGCTTGGAATTCCAAGTTCTGTAAACAAATCAAAAGAAATGATGCATTTAGAGTTTTGTTCTCAAGATGTTGATGCACAGATTTCATATGGAAGACTGTTCCGGAGTGAGTAAAAGTAAAATTTTTAAAATAATGTGTTGGTTGACGGGTAACCAGTGCAAATCGCGCATAACAGAAGAAATGCGATCACAGCATTTGGTGCATGCAACAAGTCTTGCAGCCGAGTTTGGAATATTTGAAGCGATGACAGATGGGTATTTGATAGGCCATATAAAAGAGAGTTAATTTGCAGTCAACACGTGATGAGACAAGTGCATTGATGAGACTTTCTGTTGAATTTTTATCTAAATATTTACGAATCTGGCCGATTTTGTAGTAGTACCCAAAAGAAGCAGTACGACATACATTGCAAATGTGTTCTTTCAGACTCAATTTTTCATCTAGCTGAACCCCCAGATCTCTGGCTGAACGATAAGCAGCAAAATCTGTACCTCAAACTAAAGTGGATCAGTCCAGTCTTTGAATCATTAAGCATGAGTTAAATTTTGAATGGCCCAATAGTGGACATCAGCGATGTAAGATTTGAGTCTATTTACAGATTCAGAGTGATGCGTGGGTTTCATGATTAAATAAAGTTGAGTGTCATCAGCGTAAATCGTATATTGAATCTTCTCGTGGGCACTAACGACATTGCTAAGCGGTCCTGTATAGAGAATGAAGCCAAGCAGACCTTTTACAGAACCTTGGGAAACACCCCAAGGTATTTGAAATATAAAACAAACCATTTAAGGGCAGTTCCACTGATACCCTATCTTCCTTGAAGTCGCTGAAATAAGATGTCGTGGCTGATTGTGTCAAATGCAGCAGAGTAGTTGAGTAATATGAGAGCTGCTTCATGTCCTTTATCAACAGCGAGGAGTAAATCATTAGTTAACACGTAATAGAGCTGCTTCGGTAGAATGGAAATGACGGTATTACTGATTGTACTTTTGAAAACATGTTGTTTTCATGCAGCTACTCTATAATTTAAACAGTTATGATTCTTTCCAAGACTTTTGAAAGAACTTTTTTCAGTGTCGGCGTGACGTGGGATAACATCAGAGCAGATGGTACAATTCCTGATAAAAGCAACATGTTGATAATGTTTGTGATATGTGGTAAAAGAACATCATGGCAGCTTTTGAACATCCAAGTTGGAATTGGATCAAGTTGGTTGGACCTGGAGGCACTTTTGGTGTCCTCTGATACATATACTTACTCAAATTGTGTGAAGCTGCTATAGCATATTTCATTGACACTAAAACTGATTTCTGGAGTAGAGGTGGAATTTAATTTCTTGCAGATTATCAGAATTTTGTCATTAAAGAAAAGACTCAACTTATTTGCAAAACCCTTTGATGACTTGTGTTCTGGCAGGACCGGATGAGAATCTGCCATATATAATTTAGGCGCGAGCTCCAAATTATCCCAGACGGCAAAAACGCGTCTAGGTCAACATCTTATCACGAACGCGTCTGAGAAATCAACTATTCTAATTACCACGCTATATGAATATTCATTTGCTACACGCTTGAATTATGGCTCGCCTCTGGATGACGGTGAATCGTTTGGACACTTGTTGATCGTTTGAACGATTTTCTATTGTTTTCTTATACGTACATGTGGCTATACTTTCTCTATGCTTATATGAAGATTTGTAAATTACATGATGACAACGTAGTATCAATCATCCAAATTTCATTTTATGTTCTGTGATGACAATTATTTTCTCATTTCCTATCACATCCCCACAACAAGTTAAATTTTCTAATTACAAAATAAAATGATGATATGTTTAAGTTTCAGGAGAAAAAACCCTACTGTGACAGGGTTTGAACCCAGAACTTCGGGATTGGAAGGCAAGTATTTTTACCAAGTAACAAAAGTAACAAGTCATGGTCATCATTGACGTTCTTTGGTGCCACCTGTAGCCCGTTGTCATCCTCCCAGTTAGGGATAGTATGCAAAGATGTTTTTCCTCCTACCATTCTATTCCATACATAATAAACAACAAAAACTTACACAGAGACTTCACAGATGTAACAATGGCAATTTTCAATGACATGTCTGTGTTCAGTTCTATCAAATGTCTTGACATTTTTCTTCTTCTTTCTACGAACATTTGGATCAGCTGGGTCAATTGAAATGCAAATGAAATGCATAATAATATGGAAAGTTATCATCATTCCTGGAATCTAATACTTAATTAAGGCAAAAATACAAAGAATTTTAACTTTTCATTATTGGCTGAAAATATTATTTTTACTGAGTCAAATCAAAGTCAAACAGGTGGTGGAATAAGTCTTATCAGGACTATAAACCGTAGGCCCATTGTACACAATTTATCTGTGAACTTTCAAAGGTACTCAGTATATTTTCAAGACTAACTACATTTCGACATTAATTATGCCATCATCACCTGATGATGACATAATTAATGTCGCAATATTGAATCTTAACATGGTGGCGTGCATTTCAATACTTGGAGTATGTATTATACTTTCTAATATATTTGAGACTAAAGTTTCATTTATTCAACAAAAGTAACTGTAAAATGAACCAAATAATGAGCTACATTAAGTTGAGAAGAAAATTTGGTTACCCTAAAAAGTGCAATAGATTTACAATTAACAGAAACATACGACAAAAACAAAGACTGATCAAGTTGATGGACACCATTGCATCATCAGTAGATGTTTTTTTCTTTAAAAATTGTAGTGTGTCCAAATTTGGCTGCATTTCAACCTCAGTAGGATTTGCTCATAATATTTTATTAATGTGGGTCAGGTTGGTCTAAAATCATATAATAGGCACTACCGTCGAGAAGTAGAGAGGGTCAGGCAGGGCCAGTGCCCTGGAGTCCGAGACAAAACAATTACAAAATTAATTAATTAATTAGGTGTATTTGGGAAAAAAAATATTTTGAATGACATTCACATGGTCAATAATTTTCTACTACATATACTGAGACACAATTAAAGACCCCTGTAAGCAATTCTGAGACCCTTCTAATTCACAAGAACCAAAATAATTATAATCTTCAGTCTTTTAACACAAAGCTAATAACACGTTATATCGTCATTGCGGACTATCCGCATATGCCTTAAAACTAAAAGAAAATGCATACTTTTGGAGTCCGTACTGAGCCCAAAAAATCCGCAATAAAAATATAACGTGTTTAATGCTCTAATAGGAGACCTACGTATATAAAGTTCTACATCAATGAAAATTACAAAAAAAATATTAACAATTTATTGGAAGGATACAATATGTCCAGCAGGTTGCCAGTGATATGGAAGAACTGGCACAGCAACAAAATGGTAAATAACATTGAAAATAATTATGAAGAACCAGGCTACAAACTGCAATGGATGTGGTGGGTAACTCCAACCATTTTTGCGTGCATTGGTTCTGTAAGTAGTAACTGCATCATTTCCTTGACTACTTCTGCCTGATTCCTTTTGCAGTCGAGTTTTCTTTTTCTTTGATTTCATACCAGTCTGAAATTAAAGTATACCGCCTGTGGTAAAATCTGGAAAACTCTCATAAATTTAATAACAAAATTGCCCACTTACTGTAAAAAAAAATGTTCAAGTTGCTAAACAGGGTATAATATTAGGGTCTGCGTTGCTGTGTGTCAGACAGCATTGGCTGACCTCCAGGAAGAAGCAGTGCAGACAGGAGTCAGACCAGCATCGCGTTGGCAACTGCACCTCACCTGGCGTCTCACATACAGTCCAGCAAATTAATCGCTTGACGTACCTCTGGGCGCACAATTCAGCAGATTTTACCCTTGCCACCGGTGATTTTTTTGTTTCCGTACGAAACTTGTTCTCTGCATTGCAAAACACATTTAGGCCCTTTTTGGAAGCATGGTCACACACATGGGTACCCACACCTAGACTGAGTTGCCCCAGGCAAATGCTATGCACCACCTAAAAGTTATTGGGTATGTTCCACTAAACACCTAACAGTACTTGAATAGTGATTTAAGAATAGAAGCTTGCCTTCTAATCCCAAGTTCCTGGGTTCAATTCCTGTGACAATAACAGGAAAAATCATAAAAAATCGAACTCCCTAAGCTAAGCCTCATAGCCAAAAGAGACTTCGATAATAAAAAGAAAGCATAAAATTATGTCAATCAACACTGTCCTAACCCTCTGCCGTTTATACATACCGGAGCAAAATGCAAGAAGCCATGCCTTGTATCTATGCTTCAAAACTTGAAATAAAAAAATACTATGAAATGGAGAAATATATTGCCCTGGTTAACTGCAAAGAAGATATATTTTTGTTTTAAATGGAGTTCTCTGAAAAATGCAATTGACTCATAATCAATCAATGTTGTGTATAATATTTCTTGTTATTTTCTTTTCTGATAATTTTTGTTATTTGGTTTTTTGCATTTGAGGCTAATAAAGTTGGCTTTGCCACACCAAATAAAAAAAAAATTATCTTATTTATTTTAAGAGGGTCCCAGCCAGAGAACAGAAGGTTCACCATCTCTATAGTAGGTCCAGGCCTAGCTAGGCTACTAAGTAGTATGCCTAGTAGTAGTGGTAGTAGTAGTAGTAAAGTAGTAGTAGTAGTAGTAGTAGTAAGTAGTAGTCGCAGTAGTAGTACGGGCTTCAAGTGAACTCGGCCCTTAACCGACTGGACCAGGGGTGGCGCCAGCAAGGGGGCATAGGGCCCCCGTCGGGGAGAAAAGCACAATTCGTCGGGTAGAAAAATAATATGTATTTTCTACATATTAGTAGACTCTAAAATCGATTAAATAAGCCTTTGAAACCCTTATATTGTGAAAATTTTAGGTGGCTTTGCCCCCTGGACCACTTTCGAAACCTTTTAATCTAAGCTCGACCACGCCCACTTTGCTTTCGTCGGGGTAATCTGACCCCTCGTCAGGGGAATCGCCACCCCCCTTGTCGGGCAAATCCTGGTGCCATCCCTCGACTAGAGCATACCGGCTCTGCCCTTCACCAACTCGGCTCATGAACCAACTCGGTCCTTGTCAACTCAGCCATTAAGTGACTCGGCCCATAACTAACTCAGCCCACACACCAACTCGGCCCTTGCCAACTCGGCCCTTAGCCAACTCAGCCCTTAGCCTACTCGGCCCTTAGCCAACTCGGCCCATTTACCAACTCGGTCCTTAACCAACTCGGCCCATACACCAATTTGGCCCAGCTGAACAGAATGTGCCCTTGAACCTATAGTCCTATTTCTAGTTGCATAACTCTATAGAGTATGTATATAATTTGTGGAAAGAAACGTTACAAATTAAATTCCCATGGTACTCTTGAATTTCATTAACAAGTAATTACAGTATCACATTGGTGTTACTTATTTTTCTTTTTTACAGAAAAAACAATGCAAATGTTACTGGTTGACTGGTTTGAGACACACCCTTTTTATCGTTTGTTGCGTTATTAATTATAACCGTACGTTTTAATGGCCGTTTATTAGGCTTTTATTTTGATAAGCCTGACAAAATTACTCATTGGGCTATACAGTAGTTGCATAACTACTGTAGTATAATTTGTAGAAAGAGACGTCCACAAATACTGAGATTCTCACATAATGGTACTCTTGAGGTAAAGCAGACACAAGGTTTGTATTTTCTTGTTTGTTTTATTTCCATATTTGATACAACATATTCTGATTATTATAAAATACACAAATAAATGGAAATATAAATGTAAGACTCGTATCATTGTGATTCAATAATTCGATAAATATATAGTTTTAATATAATTCATAAATAATGTTAATGGCCGTTTTGGACTTTTTTTTAGGCATATTTAATAAGCCGGAAAATGCACTACTACAATGCCTCAGTGTACTAGTTGCCAGGAAACTTAAGTATAAAATCGGCAAGGAACTTTCCCACTGACAGGTTCCAGCATGGTACACTTGAAGATGAAGCAGACACAACATCTTTGTATGGAATTCCTCTGTACGCCGCTTTCAGGAATGTGGGCGCATTGTGCAAAGGGAGAAGTAGGCAGATGCTAAAAATAGACAAATACCGGCAGCTATTTTTTTTTTGGTGCAAACGCGTGGATGGCAGTGAAGGTGTCACGTGTGTTCACCTACTTTATTAAGTTTAAATCGTACACTGTCTGCTGATCATGTTTATAAATGCAGAAATAAATGGAAACATAGTAAAATATAGGTTTCATAGCCTTTTTTAGGTTTTAACTGGTTTTAAACAACGAGATGAATTTGTTTCAATAGTAAAATAATTAGAGTTTTAATATTACATATAATTACAGAATATATATAAATACATAAAAACTAACTACCGTATCTGATCTAACAGGAAAACCAAAATTAAAGATGGTCAGGATTTTAAAACCAAAGCATTTGAAAGGTCCAAAATCAATGACATGAATGTTGAATCGAAAGATGATAGGATCATCTTTGACGATCTCAAAGACAAAATGCGGGTTTAATATTATATATACTTAGTTCGGTTTAATCCTTACGTTTCCATTCAGCATTGGGCCCACTATTGTATAAATATGTAAAACATAGAAAACATTACTTTGTGGATAAATTTTACCTAAAATTTCCAATAATTAATACATGGTAGAAGCGTCCTCGTCGCGGCCCTGGTTAACCCTAATTCTACCACCAACACACCTGCGGACACGACAACAAAATTAACAAATATAAAAATTAAAATACGTCAAAAGGCTACAAGAATTACATTAAAATTAATAACATAAAGTAAACAAACAAAGACATGCCTACATTATGGTACTGCATGTTTGTGTATCTCCTTTATTTCTTTGTGGATATTAACTTTTAAAAAATACATTCATGTATGACAACAAAATAATAAATAATTATTAAGATTCATAACATTATAAAAAGGCTTTCCCATTAAAATATACCAAAAGCGACTCCGTTAATGGACCAAGTTGGTTAATAAGGGCTGAGTTGTCTGTTAGGGGCCAAGTTGACATGGGCCAAGTTGGTTGGTGTATGCATGGAGGAAATATATTAATATATAAATATATTAATATATTTCCTCCATGGTGTATGGATGGGCCGAGTTGGCTGTCCGGCCGAGTCAGTATGGTCCAAGTTGGCGAAGGGCCGAGTTGGCTTGCACCCATAGTACTAGCCTATAGGCCTAGGTGGCCTAAAATAGAATTTCATAGGGAGTAGGCTAGGCCGAATTTAGACTATAGTCTAGGCCTGGCCTAGACTAGGCCCAGGCTAATTCTAGGCCCGGCTAATTCGGCTAGGCCTAGGTAGGCCTAGCCTAGGCCTAGGCTAGGATTAGGAATGTATCCTCACCAGCTGCATTCTCTAATCGTTACCAAACAAAAACGAAGACTTACTATTATCTGTAAAAAATCAAAAAATAATTGATAACAGTGCCATTAAAATTATGTATCCTCTGACACAACTCAGTCCTGAAAGTTAAATGAATTTCAGCTACTTTTGAATGCCATGATATCATATGAATGATCGACTTGGAAATCTATTTTATCATCAAGTTTTTGTGTTGACAATGACAACCAATACGTTTTGCACTGCAGCGACATCTCGCTCTATGGCTGTACCCGACTCGCTGCTGGCGAATCGCACTTAGGAATACGAAAGCGTGAACCTATGGAACGCCGATCACGCAAGGGCCGCCAAGGCAAAACTACCACTTTTTCTTATCAAAGTTTCTCCGAGGTAGTCTCTTCTTTTATTTCAGAGTACAAGGCATGTTTTTCTGTTTGTTTCAATGTTTTCAATGTCTATTCTTTTTCTTACAAAAAGAAAATATAAAGTATAACTAATAACTTAGGCTACATATAGGTCTGATAAATATAGTTATGCATGTGGTATATTAGTTTACCGTTGGCATTTTAATATTAACCTATTTATTAAAATTTTGTTCAGGGTGCTACGCAACAACCCAATTTGAATATTATATATCAAATAATATATATAGGCGTGCTATATTTCATAATAGTATCTAAATATGACATGTGCTGTTTGTAGCAATTGTTGCCCTTATAATAAGTATAATTCTGAAGGATACGAAGCGTGTGTAGTACGGTAATTCTCAGAGACAAATTACGAGTACTTTGGGTACAGTTGTTAACTTGTAATTTTACAATTAAAAATTGTTATGAGAAAAAAAACTCACTGTTACATAACAGACAGTGATTCTATTTGTTGTATTCTTTTGCATGATTCATTGGCTCGTAAAATTTAAGGATTTAACCTATTTTTTACTTCCATTTTTAATAAACAGGTTATAGTCAGTGTATAGAATATCGTCAGTTTTGGTAAAATTAATGTTTATAATATAATATGCTTGCTACTGTATATAAATCTGTGCCTATTACTTTTATTCATATTTTATGTAGAATATAATATAACGTAACAGTAAAGAAACTCAAATACGTAAGGTGTTGACTTTAGAAACACTAAAATTTATTAGGCGAATATTTCTGCTACTCCTGTAGCCGATAAAGGAAGGGGCTTGACCAGGTTTTTAAGCACCTCCCCCACTGACGCCGCCCCTGTAATTGTACAGTATTAACTTTAATTGCCTATGTATATGCTTCTTTTTTTTAGTTATGCCATCTTCATGATTATGTTAATTGGTTTATTTTTTCCCCGTTCTATTGTTCTATTTGTTTATTAATAAGGATGCATCGTTCACTTTAAATGCATGCCACCGATCTGAAGGTGTATATTCAAATACAGTACAGTATAAATAAATAATTCTGTAAATACCGTACTGTATACGAGACGACAGAGAGACTTCCTTTGCGATTACAGCAATATATCGTTGAGGGCGGGCTGTAAGGTACAATAACCCGGAAAGAAAAATCAGTTTTCCAACAACAGAGAGAAACAGAGAGGGGTTATGTGGGTGTATGATGAGCTTCTGACTTATTAATGGCAATGGCTTCTAAGAAAGTTTACATAGAAGAGGAGGATAATGTGGCTTCCATGGTATGCAGTTTTATCGCTGATCTTAGCAGAAAGACTGTGCAAGAGAAAGGGGCATTTTATATTGGCGTGTCGGGTGGTAGTGCTGCTAAAATTTTTTGCAATGGTCTTTCAGCTATCAGCGATTTGCAGTGGGACAAATGGCATATCTATTTTTGTGACGAACGAGTTGTAGACTTCAATAATGCGGATAGCACATATAAATTCTATAAGGTATGACACCAGACAATTTTTAATTACTTTACGGCGGCGGAAGCGGGGGAGGGGAAATTGGCCCTTCACTTTTTCTACTACTGGGGACTTGCCCCCCCCCCCCACTTTGGTGACTGCTTCCAGCACCAGTGAGTGACAAACATTGATAACATTATTATTATTATTATTATTATTATTATTATTATTATTTATTGGTGCTTAGCAGAAACCTAAATATTTTCTGTGTAGATCGACCTACGTACAGTACAGATTTTTTTCTCATTTTTAATCAAACATTACAAGTTTTCTTTTTGAGTGGAGCAACCAGTGTGTACCATATTGATTGACGTCTGTAAAGTGCGCATCTGTAAAGTTTATCTGAGCATAGGTAACAATGGAATCACTCACCTGCCTGCCTTGCGTAATTTCTGTATTTAGGCATAGGGCGGAGGTAGGCACTATTTATAGTGCAACGCTCTAGTTCTGTTTCAAACGATGAAAGTGTAAGTGTAACTGATTGGTTTACACTATACCATCAAACTAATGTAATAATATTACGTATATTATAACCACATTTAAATTCCATCTAATTTAACGAAAACAATAAGATACATAATTAGGCCATTTATTAAAATAAAGTTCTCTGAAGGTTAACTATAATTTTTCATTGTAATTAACTTATTATCGTTTTGTACTGTAAAAACTGTCGTGAAAACCTTCTTGCTTCACATTACAAATTAGTCTTTGTCAAACAAAAGACCCACCCTCCTAAATTTTTTTTGCTCGCATACTGGATTTATTACCTTATGAAATCCCCCCCCCCCTTTCAAAAACGTTTCGCTGCCGTTGAATTACTTGCTGCCTGTGAAGGTATTAATTTATTATAAAAGATATAATTTCTAAATATAGGCCTATTAAAAACACTCAAACTTAGCCTACCACATCTGCTGATTTACTGTAGTTTCACTTCACAAAGGCCCATGCATCCTGAACTTTCGCCCTGCCGGGGGCTTGCTTTGGATGCATTAGTCCCATGATAAATTGGCTAATTATATATCCTTTAAATTTGATTCACCTATTTAGCCCCTCCATGGGGCTGAGGCGCAGTGGCATATCTAGTGGTGCACGGGAGGTGTACTCCCCCTAATGAAAGCTTGCGCCCTCACCATTTCTCCCCCATTAAAGCCAAAAAAAAATCACTCAATTAGTTAACTCTAAATCAGCAGCATTCTTTTGCAGGTGAAACCGTGACATTTAAAAATGAACCACAGTCTATTTTGTAAATATTCCTAATTGGAGCATAGTTATTTAATCTGAAATCCTGGAGGGAGCTAAAGCTTGGTTCCCATATAATTGCTACACGTTATCACCGACTGCTTTTGGTAATTCTGATTGGTCGGTTGAATTGGGTAGGTTTCCCGATTGCATCAGGGATTGCTAAGGCGAGACTTGCTTTATTCCTTCTTTAGCGTACTTATTTTTTTTTCAATTGTCAGAGGAGGGCAGAAAAAAAATAAAAATAAAATGTTGTTTTCTTATTTAGTAAATTTATTTTTGCCAAAATCATCCAGACAGGAGAAAATAAAAATAAAATTTTATTGGTGAATGTAAAATAGGATGGTTAAATGCTTCAAATGTATATAATTAGGAAGAAATGTACGTACAGTATCTTATCTTTGGAGATTTCAAGGCACTGGAGGGCATAATAAAAATAAATAAATTTCCACTTTTTCGTGGCAGACGGTGTCACCTCCTTGGCCAAAAATAAAATTTTATTTTTAATCAAAATCATCAACATTTGCAGTCGGTGGGTTTGCTAAACAAGGTATAAAGAAAGTCTCGCTTAAGCAGCACTTTGTTATCTACACTTTTTTACACCTGATTTCAAAGGTGATAACACCAAACATTATTTATCCTGCTCAATTCAAAACATTTTTATACTCTGTACAGGAGAATCTTATTGGCAAAGTTAACCTACCGGAATCACAACTGTATGCAATTGATCCATCTTTGGATTTAGAGGATATAGCCATAGATTATGCTAAGAAGATTGACGCTATACCAAAGGACAAACATGGACTACCGGTCTTTGATTTGCTTATACTAGGAATGGGTCCAGATGGGCACACATGTTCATTATTTCCTGACCATAAGCTCCTTGAGGTAAGTATATTTAACAAATAACTATGAAAATTTTAATTTGTCAATGTTATGTATATTACCTATGAATAATTTTATTTTATGTCACAAATATTAATTATTTTTTGTCAATTCAGAAGTGTATCAATCAGTAGTTATGTGTGCAGTTTTAGCATACAAAATGCATATACCTATGCTTGGTGACTACAGTATTTGCTTTGCATATTTCAGGAGAAGAATTTGACAGTAGCATCAATTAGTGATTCACCAAAACCACCACAGTGCAGGATCACTTTAACATTCCCAGTCATCAATGTGTCAAAGAGTGCGCTCTTTATCTCAATGGGTGCAAGCAAAGCAGAAATGGTGGCAGTACGTAATTTTCTATTTTTAGAATATTTTTTAGATCATTGATAATTGCAGATTTCATTTGGTCATCCATAATTTATAGAATAACCAAGTCTTTCATACAGTATCTCAATACAGAATTTCAATTTTTATTTCATCAGAGGATACTGGAAGGAAATGAAAGCAATCCACTGCCAGCAGCCAGGGTGCAACTGAAAAATGGTTTAGTTCACTGGTTTTTAGATAAAGCAGCTTCAGCATCTTTGAAAGGAAAATATTAGATATTGCTTTTCAATACTGTACATCCCTTTTTAAATAAAGTTCATTTTGAGAAAAGTCCATTTAAAAATGTCTTAATATTGTAATTTTGTATTTAGTACTGTATTATTTTCTCTTCTATTATATTTTGATATTTTGTATTACTATGTAGTGTAGAAGAGTCATGTAATAAATATGATTCTTTTCTCAAAATATATGTTTGAAAGGAAATGTAAATATACAGATTATAAGATTATGAATTCTGAGTTCTAACTATATATATAGTCTGTGTCATTTAATGTTACTGTACCTACAGGATGTTTCACCTCTGTAATAATACCCCTGATATTGTATTAACTTAAATATTAATGAATGTTGTATTCTGTACAACAGAAATTTGTGATTTTTTTTAGTAATAAAAATCCTATTTCAAGTGATCTATTACCAGTACACATGTGGGGATGTAATGCATCCTATATTGGGGAACTTCCTGACATGTTTCAACTACATACACTTAATAACTTTAAAACACACAGGAACAAAACTTGCTTTAAAATGATAGATCAAGGTAATACATGTTACCAATTAAAAATTGAAAAAGCCCTCCACATCAAGTGGAAAAACCAGTATCCGATCATTTCGGTCGCGCCTTTATTTCGGTCGTGCTATTTTCGTTATGCATTTCGGTCGTGGTGTATGGCGCGCCGACGGTGCAACCGCAAACCTGGAACAAGGGAGCTAAGCAGTATAGTATAAACACAAAACTTACATAAAAACACTAGTTGACTAACAATTATTTGTATTACTGTACTATAATATCATAGCTTATCATTATTAGTATTATGTGTATCACTTAGTGTTATTTTTCTTTTTTTTACAAAAACAGCGAAAATGTTACAAAGTCGACTTGGTTTGAGACTCTCTTTAACGTTTGTTGCGAAAAACATTTTATTAATCAGGGGTGGCGCCAGCGGGGAGTGGGGGTGGAGCCGGGGGCCACCTGGCGTCTCCCCTGTTATTAATGCATAAATTGAATGGAGATTTATGAAATAAATATAGTCAATAGATTAGTTTTTCATACATTTGTTTTCTTGTCTGTCAAATTTCTATTTATTTTGAATGTTCTGATCATGTTTATAATTTCATAAATGATGATACTGAATGATATATGATGAATGAAAATGAAGGAAATATATAGTATTTTCATATTTATTCTCCACATAAAATTTTCAATATATTTATAATTAAACACCGTACATTTTAATGGCCCATTTCAGGCTTCTTTTATATTCATAAGCCCGACAAAATGACTCTGTCTAGTCCTATTCTATAGTTGTGATAAATTTAATTTCCCACAAACTAGATTCCCAAGGTACTCTTGAGGTGAAGCAGCACAAGGTTTGTATTTTCTTGTTTGTTTTATTGCCATGTTTATACATATTCTGATGTTTATAAAATACATAGTAAAATACAGTTTTAATATATAATTTTAAATACGCTATATAAGCCAAAATTATTATTATTCCACGGTGTCGGTCTTCGGGGCGGGCTTCCTTCTAAAGCTAGAAAAATTCACTACTTCGAGGCCTTCTGTACTGGTTGCCTGTAACTCAGGGCTGGCGGAACGTTTTTCAAAGTAGGGGGCCCACTTATAAGATGAATGGGAATATGAATCATGCAGATCTGGAAAAACCTAAGGGATGGGGGTCAACATTTTTCCCAAAAAGGAAAGGGGATCCGGGGGCTCTCCCCCGGGAAAATTTTCATTTCTAGATGGCGGGAAATGACCTTTCTCGACTTTTAAGCTAGGTTTCTAATGACTTTGTTCTTCAAAATTCAAGGTTTCCAAAGAATAGGGGGGTCGGGGGGTCCTCCCCCGGGAAAATTTTGATATCTAGAAGGCGGGAAATGAGTTTTCCCGACTTCCGAGGTGTCTTTTAATTACTTTTAAGTTCTTCAAAATTAAAGGTTTTTCCCCTCTTGAAAACAGTCAGGTAAATTTATCCCTGTTATTACAGTAGATAGGCCTTATGTGTGTATACATACATAAAAAAATTGAGTAGTTGCATACGATTTTTTTTCCATTAATCCATAAATCCCAAAAAGAAAGGGGGGTCCGGGGGTTCTCCCCCGTGAATATTTTGATTCCTAGAAGGCGGGAAATGAGTTTTCCCGACTTCTGAGGTGTCTTAATTACTTTTTTGAGTTCTTTAAAATTCAAGGTTTTCCCCTCTTGAAAACGGTCAGGTAAATTTATCCTATTGTTATTACAGTACATAGGCCTTATGTGTGTATACATACATAAAAAAAATTGAGTAGTTGCATACGATTTTTTTCCATGAATCCATAAATCCCAAAAATTGAAGGGGGTCCGGAAATGAGCTTTCCCGACTTCTGAGGTGTCTTTTAACTACTTTAAGTTCTTCAAAAGTCAAGGTTTTCCCCTCTTGAAAATTATTATAATGAATCAATGAACCCAATGAGAAAATGGAGGTTCGGGTTCTTCCCGGGAAAATGTTAATTTCTAAATGGTGGGAAATGAGCTTTCCCGACTTCTGAAGTACCCGGGAAAATTTTTATTCCTAGAAGCGGGAAATGAGCTTTCCCGACTTAATTACTTTTAATTTCTCCAAAAATCAAGGTTTCCCCCTCTTGAAAATGATTCAATAGAACCAATGAACCCCAAAGAAAAAAGGGGTCCGAGTTCCCCCAGGAAAATTTCGATTTCTAGAATTCGGGAAATGACCTTCACTGACTTCTGAAATGTCTTTTAAATGACTTTTTAAGTTCTTCAAAATTCAAGGTTTTCCCCTCTTGAAAATGGTCAGGTAAATTTTTCCCATTTTTTATTTTATGTGTGTATACATAGGCCTACATAAATAAATGAGTAGTTGCATGCGTATTCTTTTTTTCCATGAATCGATAAATCCCAAAAAGAAAGGGTGATCCGGGGGTTCTCCCCCGGGAA